AAACTGGCACACATTTGGCTCAAGTCGTCATCCTTTGAAAAACTGCAGTTGGCAAAAGGTCACAATTCACAGCTACGTTCCCTAAAGCGTGACCGCACCGGGCATGGCCAGCCTGGGTCCGAGCAGGGCAGTTGCATTGCATGTTAGACCGAGGTTCTTCACGATGCATCGCTACCAGGGCAAACCAGAAAAGGCCAAGACGTTTCAGGTCCCATATTCCCAGTTCCCATTCACTGCTTCCCCGAGCATCTCTATTCAGATGCAATTATGGCGTGGAGGCCTGTCAACACGCTGCTGTGCCTCAGCTTCTTCGAAGCCCCGAAGGGGTGTGGGGGTGCCCTGTTTCTGTCTGTGACAAATAAGGTTGTAGCTGTGATTTTCTAGGGTGTGTGCGAGAAACAGGTTTTGCAGGGTGAAGTAACATCTCCATCACTGCAGATGCCCAAGAAGAGGTTGGATAAGCACTGGTCAAGGATGATCTCGGTGTAGCTATGCCTGCCTTTATACTGTGGGTATAACCCAGGGTTCTGGGCTTTGCTGGCTGCCCCATGGGGTTGAGAAGGGTTTTCCCACCCCCCTCTTGCTGCTACATGTTTGGGATGGGGGGGTATCGCCTTCCTTGGAGGCATCAGGTGTTGGCTGCAGGACTTTGACCGGTGCCGGTGCTCCTGTGGAGATTTCTGGCTAGATGGTCTCGTCCTTCCACTCAGGGTCAGACAGATCAACCATATTTGAGGTCAGGAAGGAATTTAAGCCCGTGGGCAGATTGGTACAGACAGTGAGGGTTCGTGCCTTCCTCTGTAGCTGGGGACCTGAGCTTTTTCCTTGGATCTCGAGCATACTCTGACAGCCCTTGCCGCGGCAGGACATCGCCCCTGCTTTACCTGTGACAAATTCGGCTGCTGCATCTTGGAGTTGTCGGGGTTGGCTTCATAGCTGTGCTAATAGGTTAGACCAGGGGTGCTCAGCACCTGGCTCAGGTGCCAGATCCAGCCACAGATCCACGTAACCTGGCCCGTGGCGCTCCCCCCGGGTCCGAGCGTTCGGCGGTGGAGGAGTGATGGCAGTGTAAATTGCCACTCCTGTGCTGCCAGATTTGTACGCTTGGAGGGAGCCCCGCAAGCCGGATAATGCAGCCCCGTGCACTAGATCAGGTGAGCGGGGCGGGCTGGGGCCCAATCCAGCCTGCGGTCTGGGCCCATGTCCCTCATCCAGCCTGCAGGGACAAAAGGCTGAGCGCCACTGTGTTAGATTGATCCTGCCTCAAGCAAGGGGTTGGACTGGATGAGATACCTGGAGATCCCTGCTAGCCCTACATTTCTTTGATCCTATTAGATCAGCGGTATAGTTGGGAGAGATGTTAGACAAGCTCGTTGGCCCAGCGCAGGTTGCTCTCTCACCTTGCAAGAAATAAGGCAGCCTCATTTACAGCTCCCTTTTCCACTGTCACTTGGCCTGTCCCTAAGCAAAGGGCATTTAATTGTCTCCCTGTTTAACCCGAGTGGAAGGCATCTCTTACACCCAGCAGCATCAATGAGGCTTTTCCCAACATAACAGCATGCAGATTTGTATACATTCACATCACGTTTGAATATAATGCATGCGTACACCTAAATAAATTTTGCAAAAGGCAGCTGGTTATAAGCACCCGATAATGTATTAAACACGTACCTTTGACCTTCTCAGCTCCATTCTCCCCAATAGTCTGGCTCTACTTCAACTACCACTACTATAACCCTTTGCTGAGCATGTGTTACTGGTTTCCCTTCATGGAAGGGCAGAGGACTTGGGTTGCTGCATGTTCCCAATCTCTGAATAACTTGTCTGGACAGCAGCTGTAAAGGAAAAAAAACCTGCTGCCAAAATGTATGGTCCTTCCTCCATTTCTCAGATCTGGATGAAGTTTCATAGTTGTTAGGGGCTGGAAGGCACCTTACAGATCATCAGGTCCAGCCTCCTGCACTAGGCAGGAAAGACCACGAGTCGGATGGCCCCAGCAAGTAGTGAAGCTACTAGATTCATAGGCTGCAAGCGGCCGGAAGGGACCTCGGAAGATTTCGGGTCCAGCCCCCCTGCACCAAGCAGGAAAGACAGCCGTGGTCAGGAGACCCCAGCAAGGTGACCATCCAGTCTCCTCTTGAAGACTTCCAGGGTAGGTGACTGCACCATCTCTGGAGGGAACTTATTCCAGTCTGGACACTGACTGTGAAGTTGTTTTTCATAGAGTTGAGCCTGAAACGGTCTTCCAGGAGTTTGTGACCATTACTCCTGGTTTTCCCCTCGGGTGCCCTGGTGAGCAGTTGCTCACCGAGCCCTTGATGTATGCCCCTGATATAGCAATAAGCTACTACCAAGTCTCTTCTCAGCCTTCTCTTTTTTTAGGCTGGAGAGACCCAGGTCCCTCAGCCTTTCCTCGTATGGCTTGCCACGCAAGTCTCTGAACATACAGGTGGCTCTTCTCTGGACTCTCTCAAGTGTTTCCACATCCTTGTTGAAGAATGGCACCCAGAACTGGATGCAGTCCTCCAGCTGTGGTCTCACCAGTGCTGAGTGCAGTGGAAGAATCGCCTCCTTGGTTTTACATGAGATGCATCGGTTGATGCACGCCAGAGTGGTGCTTGTCCTGTTGGCTACAGCATCGCACTGACCGCTCATGTTCGTGCAGTGTTCGGTTATTACCCCCAGGTCCCTTTCGGCCTTGGTGCTAGTAAAATTGGCGCCACCGAGCCTGTAGGCGTGTTGGGGATTGTTTGCCCCCGGATGGAGCACCTTGTACTTCTCGGTGTTGAATGTCGTCTGGTTCTCATCTTCCCAACTCTCCAGCCTGTCCAGGTCCACCTGAATCTGCAGCCTATGTTCAGGCGTGACCACGCTCCCCCATAACTTGGTGTCGTCCGCAAAGTTGGCCAGCGAGCTTTTCATCCCCACCCCTATTAAGCCAAAAGATCTGATTAGCCTATAGCAGCACATCAAGTGATCTCCAATCAACAGACAGGCTAAGAGATGACTCTGCTCCATGACCTTGGGTAGGTGCAAGTTTGCTGGAGGAGCCCGGAGGAGTTTTCAACTCTTCTTGGGAAGCAGAGGTGGGAGAGTTGACTGCGCTGTCAGGGGGGTGAGGAGCACATCCTCTAGGGAACAGGGTGCTCCAGACCTGGGGAAGGTTAGTTTTCACCACTACCGTATACCTCAGCTTCCTGTTGGAGGCTGGGACGGCTGTGGGCAAGGTGACTGTACTTCTTTGGAGAAGACCTTGGATGGGATATATCTGACGAAGACTCTCATTACATCTCTGCGATCCTCCAGGTGCTTTATGCATTCTCTGCACTATGGCGGTGACAAGGCAAGGGACGCTTGAGACGAGAGGAGGAAGATGCTGTACTAAATCCCCAGTCTGTGGGGGTCTAGGTCAAGCCACCTAGAGACCCGTGTCTCTGTCTCTGCAGGGGCCAGTGGGGCAGAAGCAGCACAGCAATCCTCGGACAGCAAGAGCAAAACTTCCTTTCTTTTGAACTAAGTCTTCAGCTTCGGTGTGTAGCAATGGCAGATCTGTAATGACAGATGCAACCTGCCATCACTAGAAACTTGGTTCTGTGCTTGTTCATTCCTGAGCTGGGATGCCAGGCTTTTTCCATTGACCTGCAGCATCTGCTTCTGACCCCGAAAGGTAGCGGGATCATAGACCATTACAACGCGCTATTTGATGTGGTCCCATAGGCTCATCAGATCTGTGTTGCTCGATGGCTCCCTGCCCCTCATGGACCACGTAGACACATCTGCTAGCTCTGGCTTCAAATTCAGTTGAGCCCTTCTTCCCCATCTCCCCACCCACTCCTGTAGAGGCTAGTCAGGGAAACAGGCATGCAACATCATTATAACACGAACACATCTAGACCAGAAATATTGCAACCAAACCCCAGGCTGTCGTGTAGCTGTCTGGCAGGCCACGGGGCTATTTTATTCTTTTGATCCAATTTCCCCGTTTCTCCACCCTTAACAGGAAGATCCAAAGGACTCCTGCCACATCATCCGCGTATCCCCAGTTGGACCGGGCAGTTTGGGTGCTGGGAGCTGATAAGCTTTTCCATCAACCTACCGTTCACCCCGCCATCCCCAGAAGTGCATTCTTGGAGCTGGACATGGGCATGGCCCTTGTGCTAGGGATGTGCCTCTTACCACCCCTGTGACAATCCCTCCAGCATTGGCCAGGTTATAAACCTTGGAAAAATCACAAGTTGCACGTGCTCAGAAGGGTCCCCTGTAGCCGCGGTGTCCAGCCAGTGACACGCATGCCACAAATGGCACAGGCAGCTGGTATGTGAGCCCCAGGCACCAAATTAAAGTGGGCACAGGCAGGACCTCACTAGAGGAGGGGAAAAGGAGCAGTGCTGCTCAGGGGAGGGGACAGATGTCAGAGTGACAGTCAAGGAGGGGTAGAAATCGGGCGTCACCGCCTGCTTAGGAATTTGACCCAGAGGTGTTGCCGAATTCAGTGTTGCCACAGTGCAGTGGTGGTGGGATACTCCTCCGCTGGGCAGTGGTGGTGCTTATCTCATACTTGGGACTTAACTTGTGGTGCCCTTGCCAGAAAGTTTGGCTACCGCTGTCCTATAGCTTAACAGCTGAAAGCTCTGAAGACTTCATCCCCTCTAAACTCCAAGGCTAACAGACTGTAAATGCATCCTGTTCCCACACCAAGTCCCTGAGCTGGCTCCAGATCCAGGGCTATGGGAAATCGGAAGTTGCTTCAGGCCAAGGTGAGGGCAACGCTGGAACTGAGAGCAGTAGGCAGGTGCATCGTGTGCCCGTGCTTTCCTCCTCCTTGGCATCCAGTAGCACGGAGGAAGAAATCGATTTGGATGCATGGGACAAAAACACGGTCAATGGGAGATGAAGGAGGAGTTGGTCCGAAGAGCCTGATGAGATTGTGTGGCTAGGCAAGGAACTGGGGCTGGAAGCCATTGAGGCAGGGGTAGGGTTGAGATGATCTGAGATGAGAAGCTGGGAAAGGGAAAAGAGTGTGACTGATTAAATAAAGAGGCTGGGGGTGCATCTACAGCAGACTTACTACTGTGGGACTGCCTAATTAGCTCAGCTTTAAGGTCTCAACATCTACACATGCAACCCTAATAGGCATCAGGAAACTAATGAACTCTGCTGCAGGTTGGCACTCATAAATACAAGTACTATTCTATGGCGGTGTCCCTTAGCGCGCAGCAATGCACACGTAGACGCTGATGGGGGTGGCCAGGGCACAAGGGTGCTGCCTGCCGGCTAGCAGGCCAGCCCCTCTGCGGCACGTGGAGCCTGGGGGGAGCAGCCCCCGGGGCTCCCTGCCAGCCAGGGCTGCTCCAACCCAGCTCAACATGCTGTGGTCCTGGGTGCATGTTCAAACATGGCGCTTGGGAGCAATAATCTCTGGCACAACAACCACCAAAGTTAATTGCTGCATGTTACTAGCACATGTAGATGCACCCTGGGACTAGGGATTTGTGTGAGAAGTACGGGACTGGAAGGAAGAGGAGACAGGTCTGAAAAGGAGCTGGGAAGCAGTGGCAGCTTGCACTGGGTGGTCCAAGGGACTGGGCTCAGCTCCAGGCACAGGGACAGGCTTTGCTCTGGCTTTTCCAAACTCCTGAGTGCCCGTCCCGGAGACCTCGGTATCATCCTGCAAATGCATCCTTATGGGGTTGCAGGGATCTATCATTTATATAAAATTAGTGTTGCAACCTGTCGGGTGATCTGTCACGGGCAGCCGTACCGGTTCAGTCACCTAACTCCAGTTAAATATCCTTCATGCTTCCCAGGCACTTTCCTAGGAAATGCGCATGGGAAAAACACCCAAAGCCCAGGAGAAATGTAAGGGGCAGCAGCAGATACGAAAGGGGCTTTGTCAAGACGGTGCGAGGTGCAGCCCACAGGCTGTGTCGGCAGGCACCTCGGCCCCTTGTGCAGGCGTATGGGTCTATCCCCGGCGCTCACGCCACGCAGTGTCACGTGTTCGAAGCATGTTATCGCTAGGCCTCTCTCCGCACGTTGCTGTTCTCCGCGGCCGTTCGGTTTGTCCTCGATAAATGCATCCGGCACGGTTCACGTTGGACCCTGTTCTAACACAACTCGCTTCCCTCCTTTCTTCTCTGCCCCGCTCCCTTCCCCAGCTGATAACAAGACGAAAAAGAAAGTCGCCCATCGGGACAGGAAGCAGGACTTCTCTGCCTTCAAGCAGACAGACAGCGAGATGAAGGTTAAAATATCACCGCAGCTCCTCCTGGCAATGCACCGTTTCCTGGCAACAGGCAAGTGCGGATTATCACCACCGTTCGCAATCGCGCCAGGGCCCGAAAGCGAGTTTGTCGGCAGAGGCCGGTGAGGCGGGCGGGCAGCGCAGGCAGGGGGGAGGCTGGCCGCCAGGGCGACGAGTAACGCCACTGTCGTGTTTTTCTTTTTAAATTCTCTCCTCTCCTGTGTTCAGTGTCGGCATGAACCCTCTGAGACATTTGCCAGGGGTGGACCAGTAACTTTAAATTGGTCTGAAAGGTAAGGACGAATGCAAGTGCCGCACTGCATGTGTAGAGTCCGTCAGATTAACGACTAGCGAGTGCGCCCCGCTAGGAAGCATTTAGGGACCGCACTAATGAAGACTCGGTGCCAGCTGGCCCGGTGTTTGGGCAGCTGGTCGCGACTCCCCCTTGGTGGCTCCTTTGGGAAGAGATGCTGGACTTTTGCAGGAAACCCGTTCCACGGGGCTTTACTGACCTGAAACGCAAGCGTCTCTGCACGTTGAGATGAGCATTGAGCAGATGGCTGGAGTGCGACTTGTCCGAATGGATTTCTTAGTGGGGTGCGTGTCCTGAGCTGGTGGCCTCCATCCACATGTGGATAGGCAGATACCCGCACCCCCGGATCGCATGGCAGGCTTTGCGGGCCCGTCGATGAGATGGGCCACTGCAGCTGCGTTCCCGTTTCATCCTGGAGCTGATCCTGCCTTGGGGCAGGGGGTGGACTAGAGGGGTCCCCTCCCAAACCTGTTTTCTCTGATTCTAAGGTTGCGAGAGACCCGTTGGGTGGAGGGTGTGTGGGAAGCTTGTCCCGCTGCTCACGCTGACCCTGTTTGGTGTCTAAATAAAGACCTTCTGCGCGTGGGCTTTTCGGTCGAGCACCTTGCAGCACTGCTGCCTTCAGGAGAAAGGAACCGTTCAGCTGGAAGATGCAGATTTAAGAACGAGCATCGGTTTGCACGGAGCTCTGCGGAGCTCCCCAGCACTTTCTTAATGTAATTTGATGGACTTTTTTTTTCCCCCCTTCATTTGGTGGCATGGTGGCTCTGCTTGCCTAGGAAACATGAAAGGATTTTATAGTTTGTCACCTTGTGAAGCCATCACTAGAAAAGCAGTTCAGTTTGGTTGGATAGCTTGAAATGCAGAGCAGGACCTGTGCACAGGTGGAGGGGCCGGTGGCTCCCGAGTCCTGTCCTCGACCCAGCCGTTAGCAAATCGGCCGTTTGCATGCCTGTGTCTTGAGCATCCCTGGCCTAACTCGACCCCGCCCCAAGATGGGCTTTTTTTCCCCCTCCCGCTTTAAATAGCTCCCATTGTGAGCAGCGGAGAGTGGGAGGAAGAGGTGATCAAACGTGGTCTGTGTTATGTATTAATCTCGTGTGGTTTGAACTTACCCGGGTTCTGTGTCCCATTGTCACTGTCTCCACGTGGACCCCGACGGGCTGAGCGGCACCTTCATTTCACCTTTCGGTTTCTGCAGCGGACTGATGACTAGCGATGTTCTAGGTCCATCAGCGATCGGAGAGCCCTAGGAACAATTGCCAGAAATAATCAATGGCCACGTCATTTCAGACAAAACCGAGAGGCCCTCTGGGACTCCACCTCTACCCCTTCCCTTCACGAGTCTCGAACGAGGCTGGGGTTCCCGAGCTCTCAAATGGGCAAATTCTTCTTCCTTTTCCCATTGCACTGGGGAAACCATTCTTGGTAATTTGCAGACTGCTTCAGCACCTCAGGTAGGGGAGAAGAAAAGAGGAGTTTCCAAGAATTGGGGCATTCTGATTTCCTCTTGACAATCTGCCTAAGTCTCTCAAAAGACAGGAAAACTGCGATTCCGTATCGTATCTCTCTGCATCTCTTTTCCTCTTTTGAAGTTGATGCTTATTAATGAGTGCTAATTCATTCCCATGCCCTTGAGGTGTAACGTCAAGTTGTGTCTTGTGTTTATAGAAGTAGAAGCCTTTGGTCCATCCCAGATGTCGGAGAAGATCCTTCTAAGGCTGCTAAAGCACCCCAACGTCATTCAGGAGCTGAAATATGATGAGAAGAACAAGAAAGCCCCGGAATACTACCTCTACCAGCGAAACAAGCCCGTCGACTACTTTGTTCTCATTTTACAGGTCAGACAAGTGATGGGAGTTGTATGCAGCCCTACGTATGGGGAAGCATGTCTCCTCCTTCCTCTCCCTGCATATCTGTTTCCGTGTAGCCTTCTTAGAGCATGGGGATGGCAGCTAGGAAATTAGGGCTCTATTCCCGATTCCCTCGTTAACTTGCTAACCTTGGACAACTCATTCAGGTGGTCCCAGGCTCCATTTAACCTTTGTACGGTGCGGCTGACGCACCCCTGCTTCTCAGAGAGGATGCTCCGTTGAAAGTTGCTGTGACCGTGCAGACGGGAGCAGAGCAGGCAGGGAAAGGAATTTGTGTGCAGCTGAAGCTGGTGAAAAACCGTAGGTCGAGCACAATGTAACGGCTCGAATTGGAGTTTGGACAGGATGCTGGCTAACCTAGGTTTTTTGGGGTTTTTTTCCCACCTCCCCCTGCAAGAAGGGCCTTGATGTGATCGTGATCTCTCCTATTTTCCGTGGGCTTAGGAAGTCTGCGCCTGTAGTGTCACGGACGGTGGCTGCGCATTAAGTGAGGGCAGAGCGCCACCTGCCGCACGGCCACCTTCACTTCCTTTGGTTTCCTTTGCAGTTCTTCCATCCGTGCAGCGTCTCCGGCCTGTAGCTTGTGTGATCCGATGAGATGGCAGCCCGAAGTGCTGCGGAAGTCCTCATCTCCTTGTCCGTTTTCTTGATTAGAAAGGGTATTTCCTCCACGCAGAGGTCACTCCCCTTGGCGGTGTCCATCTCTTGAGGTTTACAGCTCAGTAGCAACCTCAGAACATGTCGGTCCTGTCTGCCCCAAGACTTTGAAACTCCGTTACCACCTTTCTGCAAGACCGGTGCTTAAAGCTGCCTCTTGCTGGCAAGGTGCTGACGTTTCCAGTCTGTGTAAACTGGATTGAGACATGCTTACAAAATGCCTCAAAACACCGGTCGCTGCCAATTCAGTGCTTGGATGATTTTATGACGTGGTATCAAATGTAAAAGATCTTTTTATTTTTAAACAACCGTGGTAATAACACCCCAAAAATATAATGCCACATCTCCAGGCTAGCGCGCTCCGTTTGGATTGCTCTTCAGTCCTCCACAAAGCACTGACAGCCCTTTCAGCTCCTTTTATGCTGTGACCTGTTGCAGTCTGAAATGGTGCTGAGGGGAAGATAACAGGGCTGGATAGACATGCCTGGAGACCCTGCCTTGGAACAGAAGAGCCCTGTGTCACAAGGGAGGGTGTGATGAGTAAAACCAGTACGGTTTCCCACGTGCCTATGTTACACCTTCAAAAGTGAGCGCATGAAAAGGCCCATGCTAGCACCGAGGTGCTCAGGTTTATCTCTGCAAGTCCTACACCTTGGCACAGCACCAGACAGATACTTCTGCTGTTTGCTGTACGCTTGGAGTTGACCTGGATGTCCTGAGGTATTGATTTTCACATAGAAAGCATGCAGGGAAACAAGTACACGGTTGGTGCCTATAGTAATCTACCAATTTAATCCAAATCGGTAGAACTTGCTCACTTCTAGGGTGCCACTTGCTTGCATTGCATGTGCTTTTCTCTTGGACAGCAGCAGTTTTATATGCAGCCACTGATAACGTTTGTCGTTCAAAACTCCTCGCAGTTCATTTATCCAGTGGTGGGGAAAGCACGAGCCCAGACGGCAGGGTCTGGCCGGGCGCTCTCGGTATCATGCCGAAGGAATTTTGCTGCCCGGCTCTCAGCTACCCAGCCGCTCAGCTCGCTGCCGTGTGTTTCTCCGCAGCCCAAATTTGGAAAGGGCAAAATGTTTTTGTGCAGCAGATGGAATAATAAGGTCCCAGAATAGAGGCGCCTTTCCGACAGCTCGGAGCTTTTCCACCATCCAGTCCAGGTTGACTCCTAGAGAGGGCAGAGGTCTAGCTGCGTGTATGGTCATCCCAGGGTTGCAGCCTGCGGTGAATAATTGCCAGTAACCGCTATGGTGAACAGCGTATTTGTACCCAACAAGTCTTTGCCGACCTTACTCCATAACATCTTTAGAAACAGCTACAGATACTAAATGTACCATTTGCTGGGGTTATAGTACTTGATCAGGTCACGAAAGCGGATTATATATTATGGTTACCCATGACCATGACAGTGGGGGGCTGAACTGGATGACCCAAGACATCCTTTCCAGCTCCGTGCTCCTGTTTAAAGTTGTTGTTGTTGTTGCTGCATTGTATTCATGTTTTTTCCTGTGGCGTCCTGTGCTGGTGCCAGTGCCAGAGACTGAATCGAGAGTGTCAGCAGGCAAAGAGAATTATTGTAATTATTTTTGATGCGGGTAGAAGAAGATGCAGGGAAACTCATCCACTTTGGTGCAGTGTGGGTGGACTGAAATGTGTTTTCACATTTCACACTGAAATGTGTTTTCACAGAACCAAAGTATTAGACGCATTTTGACCTGCCTGTAGCCACCCAGCCGCCCCGTTGTCTTTTTATCCATTACCAGCGGGGTATCCCAGTCTGGCCTGTTCTCCAGGCCCTCAAAGACTGAGAGCGTTTTGGGTGACCTAAATCCTCCAGGCCCAGGTGGCTTCACTTCAGTTTTACACCAGACTTCTTCCACCCTTTGTCTCAAGTTCCCAGCAGAAGTCAACCCCGCTGAGGGTGCCGTTGAAAATCAGGCCCTATTAACGACCCACGCCTCTGACTCTTTGCTGACTCTTTGTTATGGTCACGGAGACGATAAACATTCATCTTTAGAAGGGGTGTTTCCCATCTTCCTAATTGGTTGTGGTGGTAACGTGTGCTGCTGAATATCTGCCACGTTCCACCCCAGAAGTGGCTGCATTTTGCTGGTGCCATCGTCGTATAGCATTTGTTAAAGGGGTTGGATCCTTCTGCATGAAGCCCCGCACACAATAGTAACGGCTGTGTGATTTGCAAACCTGGTGGAAACAACTCGCCCAAATTAACCCTGAGAAAGGTGGCTCCTTCAGGAGCGAGGGCTTTCTTTTCTGGGGGAACCTTCTTGGTGCAAAATGGACATCTTTGCCTCCCAAAACGGGTTGAGCTGCCCTCCGCTCCCAGTCATGTTCTCCTGTGGGTCTGTCAACGAGGGGGTCTGTGCACGTGGGGAGTTATTTGAAATAAGGGAAGCTGCCCAGAGATACTGGGCGAGCGTGACACAGGTTTTCTTGGGCTGAGAGAGTATTCCTGCCCCCACCCCGAACCAAGGGAAGTGGCTTGACAGTGCATGAAGCATGCTGCGGGAGGGGAAGAAAGCAGTGCCGCTGGAGAGGTCCTGAATGCAGCTGCAGTGATGAATGCATGGCTCTGCTGCGTTCAATTAGCTGTGGCTCCCCAGGGGCCTGGTGGGTCTGTGGGGGAGAAGGAAGGAGAGGAGGGAAATAGCTCCTGCCTGTATTTGTGCACCCTGAAGGACTTGAGTCGAAGGCAAGATTTAACACTGAATTGCCCCTTTGGGCACGACCGCAGCCTTCAAGGTGCAGGTGTGGGATAACGTCTCTGCTCTGTGGGCTGCCGCTGCCCTTTCATGACCGCTCTCTCCTTTTCCTCAACAGGGGAAAGTGGAAGTGGAGGCTGGGAAAGAGGGAATGAAGTTTGAAGCTGGTGCTTTTTCCTACTATGGGGTGATGGCCCTCACAGCATCGCCAGGTATGTCCTCTTCCAGTCCGCTGCTGAGCTCCCTCTGTGCACGAGCATGCCTGCCTCTGGGGGTTTCTGTGCGGGGAGAGGGGCCCCGGGAGATGCCCCTGCTGTGCTTGTCCTGGCTGGTGTCACCAGGAAATGCCTCCCCGCCGGTGAAACGAGGTGCCCGGTGTATGTCTGGGTGGGGCTGATATGGCTCCTGACACGAGACCTGCGTGCTTGCCAGCCTGCAAGCCCAGAGCAGACGAGAGCGTTGGCCTTGGGGATCCCTCTGGCCTGCGATGACGAGACGCCCCCACCGCATAGCAGAGACTGGAGGAACGGGCAGCACGAAGCCGGTGGGAGACCGAGCGGTGCAACGTCCGACTGCCTGCCGTTTGGGTAGCCCATCTCTGCAGGCCCTTAGAAACCAGCTGGGATGGGGACACCGAGGGGAGGTTTTCCTGTCCTGGAAAGCTGGTGAGGATGAGCTGGGACAAGCAGCTCACGCAGCCTCGCACACTGCAGGCAAGGAGAGAGAACAGCAATGAGAGAGGCTTGCTACTGAGCCCGGGCCAGGCAGGTCCCCCTAGGAGAAACCAGAGTCCTGTGACATGGACACAGCATCAAGCCACATAAATGAGGCACGTGCTGCTGTCTAACCCCCTCCACAAGCGAGCGTTCGTGCTGCTGGCTTGCAGCCGCATCGTCCCGAGCAGCGAGCGTGGCTAATTCTCAGCAGCTAAGCAAGGCCGGGCTGCATTGCAGCTTAATAAGAGCTCGCCAGTGCTGCTGGTGTTAGTCGATAGCGGGCGAGACTCATCCGTGGGTGAAACCACTGAGCTTCTGCACATACCGTCATGCCAGGGTTATGCGTGGCACCCAGTCGCACTGTATGTCAGCTGGAAGCCACGAACCAAGATGTTGGTCAGCTGTAGTGATTAAAAATCCCACAAAGCTTTTCACAAGTACGTCCTGCCAGCCTGGCGTCGGGTGGAGACGCATGCGTTCCTTCGCTCCTGTTGAAATTTGTTTCTAGTCTCAAAGGAGCAGATTAGCTCCTGTGATCCACCCCAGTGGTGGCTCCGTTGCAAGAAGGGAGCTATTGAACCCCACGTACGCTGTTAAATGGCTTTAGGCACCTGTAGAGAGATCAGTACTGTATAAACCAGGCATTAACGTCTCCTTGGAAGAGCAGGTGATTCGAATCCTTTCCCCAGGAGATGGCAATGCCCTGGGGCGTTTGAGGTGTGATGGTTCAGCTCCGCATTGCTATCCAGTCGACATTTGGCTGGACGTATATTAGTAACTGCGCGTGCAAAGCTGAAGGCAGTTGTTCCTCGCATGCTCAGGGTGCAGAGAGATCTAACAAGAGAAGCGTTTCCGAGAGAAATGCACCTGCAGGTGCTTCAGCCCAGGGGCATGTGTGCAGCCGTCGAACCCCCGGCTGGAGCCTTGCAAAACGCTGCAGCCTCCTCTCGTTCCCTCTGTCCCCCAGAGGTTGATGGGGCTGGGGCCGAGTGCCTAGCTCCAGTGGTGGGCAGGCATCTGGGGTGGGGGGTAAGGCCAGCTCTGGTGGCAGTGGAGGTCCGAGAAGGGGGTGCAGGGGTCCCAGTCAAAACGCACCAGCTGGCTCCCCCTTCTCCCCCATGCAGACATAAGCGAAACCCTCCAGCGCAGTACTTCATCCCCAAGAGCTGCTATTTGGGAGGCAGTCAGTCTTTTTGGGAACGTTGGTCCAGCCACCCCTCTGAAACGCTGCGATTGTTAGGTCTGTCCGTACCCTCACGTTCCCTCAATCTTGCTGCTGCCCGGTAGGTTTTTGACGACAGCTTGGCCGCAGATCACGGCAAGGTATTGATGGGTGCCTTAGCAGCGATTTCCATTGCATATTTGTGTGTGCTCTCTAGTTTGCAATACAGACAGGTCACAGGTTGGCGAAGTATCGACTCTCCCCTCACTTGTGCCTGGGTCACATACGAAAATCCTTCACGGTGGTGCCTTTTGCCAGAATGGGTCAGCTTGGGCGCCCTGCTGCTCTGGTTTTTAACCTTGCTGGCACCTTTGGGTGCCTCCGGCTTTTCTTTCCAGCTTTGGCACTCACGTTCTCTCTCCCCTCCAGACATTTCTTCCCCTCTCCTCGCGGGCAAGTGGTTGCCCATGCATGCAGCCTGGGAGGTACCTGGGGCTTTCTCTCGCTTTAAGCACAAGCACTGTAGAGCACTATTTGCATGACGGGTGTTACAGATGTGCATGCTGTTCCCAGTCGGCGCTCTGGAGGGGGTGACCGTGGCGAGTCGCTGGTCTCGTGATGCCCCATCGTGCCTGTGTGGGGTTCCCGTTTGTGCCCTTGGCCTCCTGAACGCATCCTGAACTTGGTGCTGAGCGGCAGTCAGGGCCGGCAAGTGGAGCATGTGTAGCGTTTTGCTGATTTTGTTTTTTTTAAATAATTCCTGCAAAGTGTCTAACCGTTTTTTTAACCCCTTTAGTTCTCTGCGGTTTTGTCCTTGTGGTTCTGGTCCGCGCGCAGAGCGAGTTGGGCTTTCCCCCCCCGTCGAGCGTGGATAGCCACCTCCATCCTGGTCACAATCTCATCCTTTTTCTCTCCCTCTTCTAGTTCCCTTGTCCCTGTCTCGTACCTTTGTTGTCAGCAGAACAGAGTTGTTAGCAGCAGGTTCTCCAGGTAAATCCGCATGCTTCTATTACACCCTTCTTGTGACTGCAGCGACCCCATAAAAAGCCAGCTGCGGTCTGTATTTCTCTTGACCTCTTTGCTTGTTAAGGAGAAGTCCAGCAAAAAAATGTACCTGCCAGGTAGGTATCGGGGATGACCGAGTCGTCGCGACGTAACAGGTGCATGCAAATGAAAGGAGAGGAAAGAATACTTGCGTAGGAGAATGACTTTGGTGATGAGAAGGTGCTTGCTCCTGGTACCTGGGCTGTGACAGCGTCAGGAGGGCCCTTTCCTTAACAAAACGGTCTGGCTCGGAGCCTGGGCTTGCTAGCGTGCGACGCGTCTCCGTTCTGCAGAAGGTAGAATTGGAACGGAGGAGGGGGTGCTGGAGGGCCGCCAGAAGAAAGAGTTAAATACAACTTAAGAACGGTTCCTCCTATTCAAACAAGCTGTGAAATCTATTGTTCGTGCACAAAATATTCCTTTCACATGCCCTTGGAGCTGCAAGCTTTCTTCACAGCTGATGCAGTCCATTGACGTCCGCTGAGATCTTACAAACACACCAAATTGGTCGTTCAGCCCTAGATGGATTTTGGGTGGCCGGTGCCAATACTTTGTGAATGAAATCCGTGGGAAGAATGTGGAAATGTTTTTTGGGGTTGGTTTTAAGACCACGCATTACGAATGACTAAGTCGATCTTGCTCAGACTTCCCACAAATGTTTTGCTCAAGGGCTAACATCAGGCCAGGCAGAACTTAATGAGGCTGTTTTGAACCGCCGGAAGTAGGGAAGAAAGAGGAGCCGGAGCTCGCCCTCCCCTGTTAAACGTGTACCTGGGCCAGCGAGGAGAGGAATGGAAACGTTATGCAGAGAGCGAGCCAAGCACGCGGGAGCGGCCAAATGCTGGAACGGGCATCGCCCGCCTGGCACCGCAGCCGCCGTTTCCATCTTCATGCACCTCTGAACTCGGGAGGGAAGGACAGCGACGAGCGCTGAAACAGAGAACGACTTCCAGCATCCAAACTTTCCATCTGCTCCTCTGGATTTCCCCCTCCTCCTCCCCTATGTTGTAATTTTCCTCTGTTCTCTCCTCTTTCCTGAAAATTAGTCTCATGCACATTCCAGATAAACTCCAGGTTATTGCCCTGCTGGAGAGTTATTTTTATTTTTTTTTCATGCCCCGTTACTTTCCAGCAGCTAAAATTGAAGGGGAAAAAATTAATCTTTCTTTAATTAAATCGCTTGACGGTGGGGTTTTTTTTTTTTTCCCTTTAAACTCTGCAGCTTTGATGATCATTTTCTAGCTCCGTTCTTTTGCTATGCCCATCGTTTAAAAAAAAAAAAAATAATTTTTTTTTTGCCCTCTTGCCACGTTACGAATGAAGTGTACCCGTCATGTTTGCAAACTATTTCCAATATAAATGTCAGGCATTTTTTCCAAGCTTTTTTCCGCCCCCCACCCCCACCGGTTGAAAAAAAGAATAATAGTATGGAAAATAATAGCGGTGGACAGAATATTCCCCTTGAAAGGAATTGATATGGTAACTGGTCACTATGGCAACTCGCTGTGCGGTCCGACGTCAGCCGGCGGTACAGAGGCGATGAGATCAGGACCCCCTACGGCGATGGGGGTTGGTCTGAAACCAAAGAGGGGGTCACCGAGCGAACCCCAAGGCCGGGTTGTCCTTTGGCTCGAGGTTTGTGGTGGGAAGAGCTTTCTAGGCACCAGGGGCGTCTGAGACTCCAAAGTAGGGGCTGCCGCAAGTCTGCGTGCCTGCGAGTTGAGCTTGGCATTGCCTCTCGAGACCCGTCGCGGTCGTTCCGATGGTGGAGCCGGCCCTGGAGGCTCGCCTCGTTCCCAGAGCCCGTGTTTTCATCCCCAGCAGTTTGCAAACGGAAGAGAAAAGCGGGCACTGGGTTGTAAAAGCAACTAGGAAATGAAAACCTAATGGGGCGTTTCAGTTCTGTCCTGAATCCGAACGAACAAAGGCTGAGCGCTTGCAGCGACGAAATGCATCTCCTCCGAGAACGGCTGAAAGCTGCCTCTCCCCACGGTGCTGTGGCTCAATGAGAACATGCGGCAGATCTGGGTCCTCACGGCAAGGAGGAGAGTAAATGCTCTGCGGCTAAGTGAAGGAGACGGTGCTGAGTTCTGCGATACCTTTTCAGGCGGCCCTTCCTTGGTAGGAGGATGCCACCGCGAAAGCAGCTGAAAGGGGTGAGCTGTGCTGGCTGCCAGCTCCATGCCAAGTGGCCACGTGCGGGTTTCCTAACCAAGGAAGACCTCCTCCGGAGGAGGCGCTCGCTGCCTGTCTGGCCGTGCAAACCAAGCCAAGTTCGGTCCCGTCTGGGATTGGTGAATCTCGAGTGCGATTGGGACCAGAAGTCTACCCGCGGTCAGCCACGCAGCATTGTCACTCGACTAGGGAGGAAGTCTGGGGACGTTGCATTTTGGAAATGTTCCTGCAGCAGCCCTGACCCTTGTAGGTCACCAAGTTGGTGGCAACTTAGAGTAGCGAAGGCTATATTTTAAGGTGCTTTGCTGAAAATAACTTTAGCTTCAGTAAAGCATGGCCGGGACGGCTCCTCTGTGCTAGTTACAACCTTCCCGTGAATAAGTGAAGCTCTGTAGCGCGCAGGTGAGTACAAGAGGCCAATGCCTTGTCTTTACGACCCCCAGGGAGAGGGAAAGCCACGCTGTGTCCTGAATCTAGGATTCATCCCTGCAGCAGCTTGTCTCCTTGTGTCTGTGCCGCCCGGCAGGCAGGGGTGGTGCTACACAGAGCCCGATCTCCTGTGCTGTTTTAAGCACAAATGATCCCTTCAAACCCGACATGGAAATGGGTGAGAAGATCATGTTGGGAAGAGATGAAATGGGAATTGTACAAGGGAGAAACTTTGGCCCGGCCAGCACCACCTGTAGGGACGCGCTCAGCCAGGCGTGCGAGTTAGGCAGGTACAGTGGAGGCACTGAATGAAGTAAAGGTGTAACACAGTACATGTATGCAAAGGGCACCCGGCTCCCTGGGGGAAAGGCGCTGTGCAAGAAGTGCAAGGATAACTAAGCATGGATCCTGGCCGTTTTGAATATCACGCGTCAGCTCTGGGTGGAAAATGCCCGGATCTCCTGGGGGTCTTGCTGGGGAAGTGTATGTTGTATGGTGTAAGTACCGGTGCAGCCTTACTCGCCATTATTTCAAAAGTCTCTCTGCCTTCTTTCCCCCGTCTCCAGCTGAGAACAAGTCACCGCCTCGTCCTTGTGGCTTGAATCATTCAGACTCTTTAAACAGAAGCGATCGCATTGACGCGGTGACGCCAACGTTAGGGAGCAGCAACAACCAGCTGAACGCGTCTTTCCTTCAAGTGTACGTCCCAGACTACTCGGTGAAAGCGCTCACGGACATTCAGTTTGTCAAGGTAGGAAGAAAGAGGCCTGGGGGGGGGTCCCCTGGGCTGAGCAGCCGCTCTGCCTGGCGTGTGGGGGGCTGGGGTGGGCAGGGGCAGTCGGCAGACCCACGGGTTGCAAGCGGTTCGGTGCCTGGGTGACTCGAGGAGATATGAAAGCCGCAACGTGAAACCCCCTGCTGCCTTCTCGCCCTTCTCCCTTCTGCTGTTTGCTGGTTCCCTGTCTCCTCCAGCTTTCCTCAGGTAGGACAGTGCAGGTAGAGTGCCTCTCCCGGCACAGACATAAGTACTACCCCGTCCCGAAAGCCCCTCCATTGTTGCAAAGGTCTTCAGATTGACTTGAGCTGGAGAATTCCCTGTGGCGAGCAAGCCTGCATTCATAAACTGAAGGAGTCAGCCCTTCGCCCACGGGTACAAGGGACACTATCCAAAAGACTCGCAGCACCCTCTCGCGTGCCTCTGGGAAAGGCAGAACCCATCCTTTTACCAACCGCCGGGCACTTTGCTCGGCTCCCCGTTCCTCGTGTCCCGTTAGGAGCAGGCGTTGAAACGTATCGGCTCCTTTGGGACGGAGGAACACGGGTGTAACCAGGCCGTCCCGTCCCAGGTCGGGAGGTCGATGTCCAGGGGCAGCGCCTTAGCTTCAGCTAAGCATTTCTAACTGGGACATTGCTGTTCAGACACTGCTTATGCACAACACGCGTGATCTGGGAATTTAACTCATTCGAAGGCGTTTGCCTCAGCTGATCCAGCATTAAAAGTTCCCCTTAAATAAGAATAAAAGTGCGGTCCCAGATGTACTGAGCAGAAGATTTATTATTAAAAAAAAAAGAAAAGAAAGCATGATGTCTTAAAACACTAGGCCGCGTTGGTTCTCGCCACTCAGACCTGGTGAACGATGTCTTGCTTTTGAAAGCTTGCCCAACTATCCCAACTATACAGTTGGTCCAGTAAAAGATACCACCCGAGGGGATTCTTGCCTCTTAAAACAGACACACACGTGCCACTTGATGTGTGGTATTTGTAAAAACAGAGCCACTGTCACACTGACTGCAGCGTGCTGTGCACTGATTGCAGTGGCCAGTCATCAGTGTGTACCGAGTTGTACAGGTTGGCTTTTCATCTCAGTTTATCACGAGGACGTCCCTGCCACCACTTTGCCACTCCCAGACCCTCTTGAGTGGCTGAAATGTGTGTGACGCCTACCAAAGCCTCTTCTGACTTACACACCTTTGCATTTATCTCCTTAATGCTTAACATGTCACGTGTGTTGTCCCACCTTTATCATGCATTCACTCATACTGATAACCCACAGTGATCTCAGTCTCACGCTCACAAATGCATTTTGGGGGGCATTGCGAGCCAGTCACCCGGCTTTCCCCATTTCCACCCCGTCTACTATCTGGACATCGGGACCAGACGCCCGTTGTCATCGGGGTAAGGACTCCAGGACTGGCCCGCACTGCACATGGAGAGCGCTGATCGCTCGTACATGTAACGTCCCTTCCTCCGAAGGGCTGTAGGAGCCTCGCCCCAAGCTCGGTGTCAGCGAGCTGCGCATCAGTCCCAAGGCTTTCCATGGCTGTAAGTAACTGGAAATCCCTTGGTGCCTCCTCCAGTTTGTGCAGCAGGTTAAACCCTTCCCTTGTCGCGTGGCTCCATCCTCTGGGTTGGCAGAGTTGTGATAGCAGATCATCGCCGCGTCGCGGTAGTAAGTTGGGGCGGCTGCAGGCTTGCGACTCTGGTTTGTTTGATAGAAATTGGGATGAATCCAGGACAAACATATGCTTGCGATATTCGGGGGAATGGAGGAGGTTTATGTTCCCAGCGCAGCAGCAGAGACAGAAGTGTGATTGTGGCTTTTTTGTGTCCTCTCTTGTCTGCTCGGAACAGATCTCAAGACAGCAGTACCAAAATGCCCTGATGGCATCTCGGATGGACAAAACCCCTCAGTCCTCGGACAGTGAAAACACTAAAATCGAACTGACTCTTACGGAGCTGCACGACGGTTTGCCAGACGAGACGGCAAACCTACTGAACGAACAGAACTGTGTGACTCACAACAAGTCCAATCACAGTATGCACAGCGAAGGCGCCATCTAGGACCGACCCCCACCACACGTCCCCTTCCCGCCCCATCTCTCCAGCAGGACCAGCCCTCGCTCCTTCCTGCCTTTCGACCCGGCCGCGAACACCATTTAGTACGTGCTTGAAATGCTGCGCTGCGCCCAGTGCTCTGAGACCAAAGACGTTGTGCCCGTCTCGGGAGCGGGAGAGGAAGAAACGAGGAGAGCAGAGCAAGAAAGAGACGACCGAAAAACCAAACGAACCGTGGGAGCAGCGAGCGACCCTCGGCGAGCGGTGCGATTCCTTCTTGCAGAGTAGAATGGCGTTTATTTTTTAGCCGTACCTTTGTTCCTCATTGGGTTTTTCCTCCTTTCTAAATGCTCACGGGGGAGCTTGAGAAGCTTCTCCGATTTATTTTTTCAAGAGAGAATCATGTTTTTAAAAAGAGTATTTTGCAGAGTTTTAAATTGTTGCTGTCCCTCCCCGGCCCCGAGTAGGCTGTGTCGTGACTTTGTGAGTTGGCTCCAAGTGTCCTCGGCCTCTTTCCATCCTTCTCTTTGGTCCTTTTCTGTTGGTAAGATGGTAACTGGTACTTGTATGTATTTGTCTCCTACAAACGAGGAATGAGTGGAACTGCGAGGAACCTCTGTCGTAACCATCTGAAAGTTTGGGGAAGGGCATTACATTCTCCCCAGCTCAGTTTCAGGGAAGGGGTGGTTATTTTGGTGTTAATAATCTCTCCGATCGCAGAAGGTTTCTTTGTAAAAATGCAAATATTGTTACATTTACAGTTTTGTAGCCTCCAAAAATGTCACGCGTTTTGAATATGAAGCTGGGGGTTCTTTTTAATCAACAAAAGCGTAGTCTCCTCAAATTGCAGGCAGGGATGACTCCCCCGTCAGGGGTGCTGGGTGGTTTTTATCTGCTGGATACTTTGCGTTGGTGTGACCGGGACTCGCGTGGTGACGCTGTCTGCCTCCCCGCTGTGTTGGAAGTGCGCACCCCAGCGCGTCAGATCTCAGACTCTGAGCTCCTGTACAGCCCGTGCACCCTGTCCTCCAGCCAGAGCATGTTTGCAGCCCGTGATAAATCACTGGGATAGGATTTAGGAGTGATCGTTTGTCCCCGACCCCTTGGATGTTGACACGGAAGATGCTGCTACAACGCCCAAAGTGAATCCTCCCAGTGGTTTGTGCACCCCCGCTGCTGCAGGACCATCCTCTTCTCCCCCAAAACTGACAAAGAACTTCCATGGCAGACGGAGCTGTGCGGGAGCAAACGCTGCGCTCCAGGGATCGGAGAGGTTAGTCCCTGGGCAGTTTCCCTTACCCTGCAGCCCCTCCATGTCCTCCCCTCTCCCCTTTTGCTGCTTCCATGGGGCCATCTCTCCGATTCTGGAAGCAGGGTGGCGTCTCCTCAGCACTGCTCCTGTTGCTTAGCCCAGGGCACGACCAGCTTGCCCGCTCCAGCAGCCCGAGCCCAGAATGGGCAAGATGGGAGCTCCGCACCACGTATCTCCTAGCCCCCACCAAGCAGTGTCCGTCGTGGAGCTCACGCGGGGACTAAGGAGCCCCCGTACCTCTCCCCTTGTCAGTACCCTCTTCAAGACAGTGTGACAGTCAACCTCAGTATTATTCCCTGGAGAGAAGACCACGTCCTGCAGCGCAGTCTGTCTGAAGCTCAGTCCTTGCTGCTCGAAGACCACCCCAGGACCCGAGTGTAATGTAGCGTTTTCCTCCCTTACCCATCCAGTAAGCTTTATCCAGCTCCGACTTGGAGACTCTCCTGATTCCCAGTGACCCCGGGGGCAGCGCTGGCCCCGCTTCCATCCCGACTCCGGCCCTGGGGCGAACGTGACCTCGAGCCTCGCAGCGATGTCTGCACAAACAGCGCGTGAAAGGCACAGCGTTTCACCGGAGCGGCTCGTTGGTGGGTTTTGTCCTACCCCGCGCTCTCCTTTTACCCTGTCCGGTGAGAACGGGCCGCCCGGGTCCAGCGAGATGGTGGGGAGGAAAGGTACTTCCGGTCCCTTTTCCCAGGAGGCACGAATAACACCCGCAGAGGGGAGCACAGCAGTCCCACGCGTGGTATCGAACACGGGGGCAGGCCGAGCCTGGAGACCCGAGTCCCAGACGACCCTCGCACTTCTTAAGCTCGTAGTTAAGAACACTAAATCCCTGGTTTTTCTTTCTTTTTAAACGTGCTCCTCTTCGTGCCCAGTCCACGCTCTCCACGCCCCGTTGGCTCTGGACAGCTGCAGCCACCGGCGGGCCGACAGCGTCCCGAAAGCACCAGGCGTGTGGTCGGGCTGGCGGGTCGCCTGCTAAACCAGCCCCCTCGTTACCCAGCTCGAGGAGAGCTGCTCGTGTCGCACCTTTTTCTCCAGAGCAGAGTGAGACGACATCGCAGTATCAACTCCTGGCCCCGGCAGGGACGCGCTTCCCTGCGTCGGCCCTTCATATTCAAGCCCCCTCCGTGGCTTTGCGTTGCTGAACGTACGATGTTGTTGAAAGCACGGCGCGCGGGCAGGGGTAACCGTGGGGTGCAGTATCCTTCCTATCGAGCCTGCTCGCCGAAGCTGTCCTCGGAGGCGGGGGGGGGGGGGGGGGGGGTCTCTCTTCCGAGCTTCGTGCCATGTCGCGGCTTGTCGAAAAGGCGACCAAAGTGACACGATCTCGCGGGCGAATCCCTCCTTGCTGAGCTCCTTTGTCTGTGTTTCAGGTTACGCGAGGGCTGCCTGGGAGACTTCCCTCTCCTCGCGTCCGGCGTTTGGAGCAGAGCACGCAATAATCCGCACGAAACCCGTCGGTCACAGATGTGTCTCGTAAGGATTATAGGCTCCTCTCCTAGACGGAGACAAGCCGCTGCTAGTTGGCTTGAAGAGGGGGGGCTCCCGCTGCCGTCGGGCATTGTCACGACACAGACAACCCAACCAGCTGGATGTTTTCGGGGTCGCTGGACTTGACTTCAGCCTTCGGCCCACGGCAAGGGTTTGCTCCATAGAAAGGATACTGCATTTTCCACGCCTGTGCCGTGTCCGTTGGTTTGGGTGGTGGCGCGGACGCCAGTCCGGTCGTGGGCGGGGGCAGGGCAGGGCAGGGCAGCCATGTTTTCTAATGTTGATACCGTTTTTGCACAAGAGTTCTTTGAAGTGAGGTTTTTGACACTAATATCTTAAATGCACAACTGTGAATTCGTTTTTACACTCCTGTCGGTTGAATCCCTCCCAATGAAACGAACCTGAATCTGTTGTAACCATGATTTTTAATGCTGTGTATTGCCAAATCTTTGTAAAGAGCGAAAGGACTGTTCTTGCTTCGCAGCGAGTCTTTCTCCCACCCCCGCTGGCTCCGGGAGATCGCGTGAAGCACGCTAGCTCTGTGTTGCAGGAGGGGATTTAGCAGTCCCACCCTTCTCTGTGCAGACCCAAATTCAGGTCTTCCGGAGGGCCCTTCGCCCCGTTCCCCACGTGTCGGCACCCGAAACACCCTGCATGCTCAAAAGACGTCCCGCAGAAGACCCGAGAACTGGGTCGTACCAGAGAGTTGGGTTCGAGGCACGCCGGCAGAGCAGTGGGAAGGCATCGCTGCCACGACTAGCGGAGGTGGCGATGCAGCCGAAGGTTGACCCGTGCCGTCGGAGCTGGAGGGGGGACCCAGAGTTGGGCTCCTTCGAGGATGCGAAGGGTTAATAAGCACGTTCAACTTGATCTGCAGAATTGCCTGCATCCCTTCCCACCTCCTCCTCCCGGCTCCCGCGGCCTCCCCTCACATCTCCTCTTCCTCACTGCGTGTCTTTGCGCCCGGATACTTCTTCAGAGAAGGAGCAGGATCGGACTCTGCAGTCGCTCTCCACTGGAGGAGGAGGGAAGGAGAAAACGTGGCGGGAAATGGAGGAGAGGGAGCTCTCCAGGACCCAGAGGCATCTCCCCGGCAGGACTCGGAGGTGGTTTCACAGGGGCTTCCCTGAAACCAGCTCCAAGTACAACGGAGCGGTTGACTGGACCGCAGCGGCGCTTGCCGCGGTGCTTCATGTGATCTCCGAAGAGCTCAGCCAAGAGAGACTTGAGTCTGGGAGTAGTGAACAGCATCCTGCGTAAGTATTTCATGTGACGGCGAATGCAGCCAGGCTCCCCGGGACCAGGCCTCTTCCTCACGCTGATGGAGAATATCTACACGGGCCCTACATAGGGTCTGTGCGTGTTGGATGTCGCGTGCTGTATCTTACTCGGTGTCCAGTACACACACCCGGGGCTTAGGACTAGCCCTGGGGACCAGGCGTGAAGTTACCCGGAGTCGGGACCACGGCTAGCAGCAGGCCGGGTCGGGGGATGCTGTCGCAGTGCCTGTGAGCATCAGCACGTGAGGCTTCAGGCCCATCGATGGTGTCTGGCCGGTGCCGACGTGTCTTTGTGGATGTCCTAAGCTCCGGTGCCGTAGCTAGGGCGGGCTGAACGAGCTTGGACTTGCTGGTCCTCGCTGCTGGAGAGCGGGGGGTCGTCAAGCCCTCACCGGATCCGAAGAAGTGCGTGGCTCTGCGACTGGAAGGATAAGAGTCGATCTGGTCTGTGGGAAGGCCCAGCAGCTTTATCCCAGCACAACTGCGGTGGAAGCAGCCCTCCTCCTGGTTTAGGCAGGGGGGCAGAGGGAGTACGCGCGCCGGGGAGCTTCGCTAGCCGGGTGCTTGCTCGCCGTCTCCTGAGCCCGTTGTGCTGGTCACCAGGCACTCCCCGCTCCAGTCCCTCTGCCTTGCACGCGTGGCCTTTCCCAAGGGGACGCTGGCCCACGGCACTGCTGCACCAGCGCAGCGGGCGAGGACCGGCACTGAGGAGGTCACCCGCAACGCCCGCCCCTCCTCCACGGCCGTGGCGCTCAGCTGAGCTGTTCTGCTTTTCGGTTCCCCGCAGCGCAAACGGGCTGCTTGGCGAGCGCAAGTTGTGACCCGGTCCATCTCCAGACTAGCGCAGCTTCGATCTTCCACTTCAGTTTCATGCATCTCCCACTCCTCTTCTTCCAGGCCCGGGATCTGGGCACAGAGCATTGCTTAGAGATGAGAGGAAGCTCTACAGCCCAGGCTGTCCCAGCTCCTTCCTTCCTGGGCTGAGGACGGGCGGCGCGGAGCTAGGCAGGACGCTGCAGACGGCCGCTCGCCGATGGGCTTGGCTGTTCCCGTGGTCGGTAGCCCCGCGCTCTGGCAGCGGTCTGAACACCGTGCTTCCGTGATGCTCTCGTGCACCCCTTCAAATGCTTTGGCTCTTCCCTGGATGGGATCAAACCCTGCACATCCCGGAGTACAGGTGCATCTCGTTGGCTCCAGCGCCCTTGCCTTGGGAGACGGTGGGGCCTCGTCTGCCCCTCCCTTATCGCTCTTGCCCCACCGTCGTCCGTTAGCCAGGGTTAGCAGCAGTTCTCGCTACCCGCGGGGCTGACTCCGAGTGAAGCGTCACCACTTCGAAAGCAAGGATCTTCGATCTTTAGATTTTCCTCCTTCCCATCCCAACGCGCCCTCCCGTGACCTCTGGAGTCTTTGCCTTCGAATGGGGCTGGCAACTTGAATCCTGCTGAGTCCAATGAAACCGGTGTCAAGAAGTCTAACTGCTGCTTTCCCAAGTGCTTGCTGTCAAAGCAGTCCTTTCCTCCGAGGGACGCAGCGGGAGCCGCCTGTTGGCAGAGGTTGGAGTTTGCGAGCTGTAGCGCTGAAGAGTCGGAGCTGGGAAACGTTAGCGCCTGGACTCCTCCACTCTTCGCTCAGCCTGCTGATGCGGTCTCGTGCCGTCTGGGCCAGTCCCCACCAGCGTGGAGAGGCGGCGGGTGAGCATTCGGTGGTCACAAAAATCGCAGCCACGTTGTGCCAGGAGAGATCCCCCCACGGCACGCGGGAACGCTCGCAGCACGGGTCCGCCAGCGCCAGCCTCGCGTTCCTGGTGTCCTCCAGGCTGGGAGGTAAGAAGGGACTTCAGGACAGGACCCCTGGGGCGAACCTCAAAGCTTGGACTTGCTCTTCCACGGATGCGCCTGCGGATTCCCAGACTTGCATCCGAGTCGCGGTGCAGATGTCATGATGCCAAATAGTGAAAACCCAAATACTTGAGTTTGTGCTTCTCTGTCACTTCGCCCCACTTCTCTGCAGCCGCTGAAACACCTTCTTACCCCAAAACCAC